TATTTTTCATTACACATGTACAATCATAACTGTATTGCAGAAATACAACAGATTTTAAGCTTCCAAGGTCTTAATTCAAGTTAGACTCTGCTATTTAGTGTAATTTGGGCCAATATAATTTATTCGGATTTCATCTGTAAAATGGGGAAAATTCAACATGGCCTATGGAGTAACTCTGGGGAATCTAATGACGATGTGTTTGGAAGTGCTTTTTAAACCACAGGGCTCCACAAGTTCCACTGTGACTGCTGTGATGATATAAATGGGCATTAGGATGGTTCTCCAAGTCTTCCTGTAAGACCTAAAAACATTCATTTTTCCTTAAGGAAGTTAATTTGTTTTGGGAATATACTCCTATCCTTAAAAGTTAGCTGAAACCACTCAATTCACAGCTTGTTAAGATGTGCTGACAAAGCAGGTAGTCCCCAGGGTTCAAAGATTCCTCTGCATCCAACATTTCAGTATGAATTAGAAAGCTGACATAATTCAAAGCAGCTGACCAGAAACTCAAGGAAGAGAGAAGAGGTACACAAAGAATAGGAAAACCTGCTTGATTCTCCAAGGGCTGCCTGATTCTCCCAAGGTGCTGTTGCAAACTAAATCCGTTTGGGTCCACTTGAGCCAAGAGCATCTGTCACTCCACACCACAGGGCTCTCATTCTGGAGCCAATCCTATTTGCAAGACATGAATAGGAGGGGACCCACAGGAGTAGGAGGAGTGCTCACAGTCAGGCAAATTGGACTAGCAGAGCAAAGAACAGTGAACTATAATTTGTTCGGTAAATTCTGCCATTCAAACTACTAGGATTCATGCAGGCACCCTGAGGAAGAGAAATGAATTACAAGTAGTCAAACAACTAGAAAATTTTATGGAAAATACTATCAACTAAGTGAAAAATAATTCATCCCCCAAACCACAAAATACTCACTTAAGTCTAGAAAACAATATAAATTTTGTATATGTCATTTTAAGAGTCAGTGATTGTTTGCATTATTCAAAACTGATCACTCATTAGTATCAAAATAATACTTCACATGCTCTAGTTTTTATAATAAATTCAATCTTTTTGATAAAAATATTTGATAAAACGGGTTAAGTTTATTGTTGTCCTCCCACAAACCATTATACTACCAAATTACTAACCCCAGATGGACAATAGTATTGATCTCTCCATAATACATTCAATCCTTCCCATTACATTCACAGCAGTATATTCTTTTTCAGAAAGCAGCTGCGCTAATCAAAAAATTAGAAAACACAAAATGCACAAACTAAATTGCACACCAAACGGCACTTTGATCTATAATGTTGTGAACAATATTTTAGCTGATTACTATGAGTGTTCTTAGGTCATAAAGCATATCTAAAGGTAAACAGCTAAATGCTCTCCATTTGATTTGATAGACCCAAATACAACAACAGAAAGTAGGAAAAGTCTTCAAATTAAAGAAGGAGACTGCTTTATAGCCTCAGTATTGAGAGACACAGCTATTAACTGACATAGGGCTTAACTGTTAAATTCTGCATTTATCTGTTATATTTTAGGGAAAAAAATAAATCACTCTTACTGATGAGACAATCCAAAAAGTGACTTTCCCCACCCCCCCCACACTAAGATATGCTTAGTGGAAAAATAAACACTAGAACCAGATCCCCTGACACCCGGTCCTCCAGGCTGCACTAACCTGTCTCCCAACTTAAAACAGATTCTTATATCACATGTAAATTACAGAAGAGCTAAAGATACTTGGGGTAGTAGTATATTCTTCCCCTCAAGGACAGGCTTTTAAAATAGGTTATTAATGTAACTAATAGGAAAAACAGGGAAAAAAGGAGAGAAGGCCCAAATATTTTCATTTGCAGAAACTTTCATTTACAGAATCCTATAAATTTGCAAACGTTTTCATCTGCAGGAATCTACAAATTCCATTATTATCCTTGCAGCTCAACTTTCCCTCTATAAATTGATGACAACAGAAGAAGCTTTGAACCATTTCGATTTCCTCCTACTCTGAAAAAGATATTAAGAGGGAAAACTGGAATTGACAGGGCCATTAAAACATGACAGTAAGTTGTTAACAGTTTTCCTTCTAATCTGACAGTTCAGATCATTTCTCTTTTTACCAGAGCCACAGAAAACGTTTCCACTACACAGACTGTTGTACCCTTGAAACTAAAGTTGATTTCTAAACTTAATATAATTGAGATTCTCTTAATAATTTCTGCTCTACTTAAGAGCACACCATATTATATCCCTAATATAGGATTCACTGATAAGAAACTGTCAGCAATAAATGAGGTAATATATGTAAAAGTACTCTGCAAATGTGAAATTATTTTAACACATGGAAGGCACTGTATTTTTCAAAAGGTCTCTAATGTCATTGATGTGAATAAGATGCGCCATCTTAGTGGTAAATCATCAAATGCATTTCCTTTAAAATCAGGATCAAGGAGATGTCTACTATCATTGTTTCATTTTAACACTATACAAAAGGTTGCGGTTAGTATGGTAGGCCAAGAAAAATATAGAAGGAGTATAAGGATTGGTAAAGCAAAAGCAAAAGATTATATTACAGATTACACATTATATAACAATATGGCTGATTTAAGATCTAGGAATTATTGATGTTTATTCAATTTTAAGCAGGGTATCCAGAATAGAAACTCAAAGGCACACTGCTGAGTGTTAGGTATCATGCCAGCTACTGCTTTAGAAATAATGAATAGGCAGACTATACTCAGTTTCCTTAACGGTTACACATAAGCAGCTTTTGGGTATACAGGATGGTGGGGGGGGTCATAAAATGAAAGACAAAGGCTCAGACTGCATCCAAAAAGCAAAGAAAGTGGGTGCACAAGTTTGAGAAGAACATTCAATTCTAAATCACTCATAAGTATACTGTTCTATTAGTTACCACCATCACCTAAGGCTTCCTGGCATGAGCACTGGACTACTAACAGTAGATCAAGAGGAGAAGGAACTGAGTCAGTTGCAAGCCAAGTGGTCTACATAGTAGGACCCCAGCAATCTCATCTCACCTCCACTATCAAAGAATGTTGTGAAATTATTTATATACACACACAATATTAAAGGCCCGAAAAACTTTTATTTACTATCTTAAATATAATTTTGTTTGTTTTCCAGTGTCACAAAATTAGTGTCCTTTAAGCTACTTGTCAATAATAAAGTATCTCAGATCTACATTTTATAATATTCTTCATTTAGAAAGAGCTTTAAAACTGTCTAATCATGTTGTAAAAATGTACAATGAAAACACAAGTTGTGTGAATGTACTAATGATGTTTTCTAATGAACTCAAGGTTGGATTATTAACTACAACACGAAAGCAAAGGGTACCAGATACTTAAAGGTGCTAATCAATCATTTAGCTTTTATTTTTGTGTTTAGTAATGTCTCAGATACTTCCTCCTTAAATATTACATAATGAGGCAAATACTATTTTTACTACAATGGAGCAAAATTTTAAGTCAGAAGCTGCAAGCACATTAGAACCATCTGCTTTAGTTATGTGAAGAAAGCACCTAGTATTAATCAGAGGAAAATTGAGGGAAAAGTCACTGAGTGGCTGAAAATATCCTAACTGCCAGGAGAAAAAAATGTTCCATATGCCATAAGCCAGACCCTTCTAACTTAGAAAACTATGTAAATTTTCCTATCTTCTTTATACAAGGCAGATTTAATTAGCTTGTAGAATTTCAAAGTGGTAGAAAATTTTTTAAATGATTACTTTTGCCTTTTACAAGAATATATTGAATATATTATGCATTTTTTGTGGTGTTCAATAGTCTTTAGTATTTTTTTTTTTAGTAGATGATGTATCGCTTTCCATGGATCAGTATGCTCTCAGATTTTAAGTTACTTATGTATTTCTAGCTCTAAATGACACATTCATATAAAAATAGTTTTCTGATCAGCTTATATCTTTAATCCTCCAAAATGGTTAGATTAAAAAATATGAGAGAGAGAGAGAAAGCAAGAAAAAAAAGAGACATGGGAAGAGGTCAAACCACCAACATGCAAGGAGGACTTCAATGAAAGTTGTGCCATTTGCAGAATTAAACATCAGCCCTAGCTGGCTAAATCATGTAGGCAAATGCTTTTATAAGTGCTTTTTAAAAACAATAAATATAAAATGAAACAGATTTTTCAGTATACTTCTGACTACCTACTGGCTAATATATGCTATTCATTAAAAAAGCTAACTTTGATTACTCAGGAACCAATGAGCTAACTTACAAATTAGCCACAGTATTTGCTTTTTTCTTCATATTATTATCAGATTTTTGTGTAGGTCATTCTTCATTAACAATCTCTACTAGACTGATAGACTGTGAGTATAGCCACCATATCTCATTTTGCATTTCTGAAATAACCTTGAAAAGTTAATAACTTGACGGCTATTCTCTGCTGACAAGGAATCTTTTGTATTATGCAGAGCATATTTTACTGAAAATCAGGAAACAGCTTTTTTCCAGGCTGATAGTGAGGGAGAAGATTTCAAAATGGAACATAAAAACTGCACAAACATACAAATGTGATAAAACTCAGAATAATATCAACAGTGCCAGAGAACTTGCCAGCAATAAACAGTAGCACACTGATTCTGACACTTGCCTGTTTTCAAAAAGATTGTGACAATTGCTACACTATTCTGTCAGAAGGGCACAGTCATATGAAACTCCTCTGAGTCTTTACAGCATAGCCCGAAGGGACCTTTTGTTCTTTTCTTTTCAGCAGGAAGGCCAAACAGAGGCTGCACTGTGCCTCCTCCCTCATGAGGAGGCATGAGAGACCAGCCAAAAAGTCACTTTATGGGCTTAGTATTGAAGATTCGATAGTGGATGTGCAAAGCAGAAAACATGGTACAATGCAAATAAGAAAGCAAGACAGAAAACCATCTAACAGTCTTTAAGATGGGCTCCTAAAATAGAACTCTGTAAAATTATTTAGAAAAAGTAAGGCAGAGGACCCTACCTTGCAGATCTTATAGAGAGATTCCTGACCGTCACCTCCTGTATCTTTAAAGTAATCATGTGCAGGAAACGTGCGATGAATATCTCGGGTAATCACACTCTCCTGGGCTGAGTCCTGAAAAGGAAAAAAAAAAAAAAAAATGACCTGATTATTAATTTAGATTTTTTTCCAAATATGGAAAGTAATATATACACAACAAATTCAAACAGCACACAAAAAAGCAAACGACAAAGAACTCCAAAAAAACCTCCCTTGTATCCCAGACCCATAATCCCGTTCCCGAGATAAGTACTACTAGTAGCTTCTTTCACCATCTATTTTTAGATGTATGTATGTGTATATGGGGAGGGGGAACAGAGAGAGAGGGACATTGTATACACAAATCTCCATAGAAGCAACATATCTGATGCTTTCACTTCTATGAAGTTATTCTATTGATAATTTATAGAATGTTCCATATCAAGACATGCAAATATAGTTTATTCTCTTTACGAGCTATTATTTTAAAAATGAAGTACATCTGGATATAGATTTATCATAATTTACTTAACATTCTCCTATCAATGACCACATTTTTGCATTCTTTCTACTTATATAATAAACAGTATAGCAAGAAATATTTTTATACGTCTTACACATATGTTCAAGGATAGATTCCTTCAGGTTGAACTGCTAGATCAAAAGGTACCCTCTCACCAGAGTTGTCATACCAACACATACTCCAAACAATAGGAGAGTTATGTGTTTCTCCTTACTTGCCGAATACCACATATTATCTAATTTTCTAATCTGACAATATGAGAAATAAAATCATAGATCACAGTCATTTAAAAAGTAAAAATATTATCAATCTTTCCTCCCTGCTAGGTTAATTGCCCAACCTACCCACTAAATAGAAAGCCTACAAGCTACTATATTAAGATGACATATGCTTTACAGATAAACCTAGGCTGTTTTTTTTTTAGATAGACTTAGGAACCAAAAGCTCAAAATTTGGTAAAGCTCTAAGCCTTATAAAAAACAATCCTTCACTTGATTTTATTTTATTCCTGAAAATATTTATCCATTTAAATATCAAGAAAATAGGATGAGACTACCTCTAGCAACCCTAACGGTGAAACTATTTTGTACAATGCAAAGAAGCATCAAAGACTACTAACTGAAAATTAAAAGCATTGTTTAATGTCTTGCTTCCATAAAGATCTGAACAAATACCCTCTTTCAGTCTCAAGAAAGGAAAAAAAATGTCCAACATATTAGTACTTTAATGAATACTATTTTGCTTTTTTCTTTATATTGCAGAAAGACACAGGTTACGCCAGCACCTTGTCTTGCTGCCTTTTTCACTGCAGCTATTTCACACTGCGTGGTAATTAGATCTTATATCATGTAGAGAAAGAAAAGAAGCGAAACGAAAATTTCCAAATTTGCTAGCAAACAGTGAACATATTACAAATCAATCCAGAGGAAATTCTGATGGCTTACAAGAATGAATTGCTAAAGTAGAACTAAAATAGAATCTTTAAAAAATCACTATAATTACATGAGAGGTTACATGGGAAGCTTCTATTTGTCGTGTTAAGTGCGGTGTTTCTAATGACAAAGACAAAATTAAGGTGGATTGGATAGAGAACAAGAAAGGTATGAAGGGTTTTCATAAAAAGATATATTATGAAATGTGTGTTGCATCGGGTCACTGGGCAGACCAGAGTCTCCCTGCTCGGTTTTCTCCAGTAGAAGGGTTCCCTGTCCACACAATAACAATTTCCTCTTCTAAACCACATGAAAGAAGACCCATAAAAACATTACTACTGCCACTGCTGAACTATTTGAGGAGAAAATGTGCCCAGTGGCTCACAGGATAACCCTACCTGTACTTTTCAGGACATTAAGAGAGAGAAATCATTGGATGATATTCCCTAGAAACTGCTTATGCATTTAGTATCAATAGACTGATTCAAGAAAAGAAAATTGATTTAAAATTTCTAGAGCCGGGCTCGGTGGCTCAGCCTGTAATCCCGTGCCTTTGGGAGGCTGAGGTGAGTGGATTGCCTGAGCCTGTGGGTTCAAGACCCGCCCGGGCAAGTTGGCAAGACCTCATCTCTACCATAAATAAAAAATTAGCCTGGCGTGGTAGCACACGCCTGTAGTTCCAGCTACTTGGAAGGCTGAGGAGGAAGGATCACCGGAGCCCAGCGGGTGGAGGCTGCGGTGGCCGGAAGCAGCCACTGCACTCCAGTCTGGGCGACAGAGTGAGACTCCAACTCAAAAAATAAAAAAATAAAATAAAATAAAATAAAATTTCTAGAAAGCAAACTTGCATAATACATAGAGTCCTTTTTTATGCATACTTAAACTTTCTTGTTTAAGAAATAAAGGGGAAAATCAAATGAAAATAAAATCACCAACTTTTCCCTACTTAATACATGTTTCTTTCCTGAGATTACTTTTAAATGCTTTCTACACTATATGCTTCTAGAATTTTCTTCCTTTATATTGCTCTTAGTTAGCTAAGGGAATAATTTCCAGAACTTCATTTTATAGACTGAATAAGCTATTTTGCTATCTTGTGAATAAGCTATCTTGTTCACTGATCCCTTTCATCTAACTGATGGTCAACAGATACAATAGGTTCTTATAAACAGACTAAGAGAAATGAAATTGCATTCTGGACTAGTGAAAATCCAAAGAAAAGAGCTACATTTTTTAATGTGTTTAATGACAATATTTTGCATACTTTCTGTTTATATAACACAATATCACATATAACATTTTTATACATATGTCTTACACATATATTCAACAATAGATCCCTTGAGGTTGAATGCTAGGTCAAAGGTATATGCATTATTTAGCAAAACTAAAGTTAACTCACCTCCCAATAACAATTGACAGTAGAATCAGCACATATGTATTTCAGGACCCCACATATAATCCCCCAAATACACTCTTTGAGTCATTCAAAAAACACGAGTTAGAGAGTCACCAAACTTAACAAAAGGAGGACAAAGCACTTTTTCTCTTCAATATTAATTCCTTTCTTTTTAGATTTACTCCAATTGTGGTGGTTAATTTTTACAAGAAAATAAATGAACAGAGAGGAAGGACAAAGAAAGGCTAAATAATTCACCATCTAGATATCTGGAGTTAAAGGGTTTCCTGTGAAAACATTCTACTTTTTTTTTTTCATTTTAGATGCAAGAGTTCACATGCAGGTTTGTCACATGGTTATATTGCATGGTGGTAAGGTTTGGGCTTCTACTGAGCATGGTACCTAATGGGTTTAACTTTAAAATATTTGATAAAAGTATTTTACAGCACAAGCAAAACTGATGTGAGGTCATTTTCTTGGCAGGCCCTGAGAAGCAGGGGCTTCCTAAGTCCTGCTAAATGTCTCCTGAAGGAGAAGAGGGAAGAGGCCATTCTTCAAAAAACAGTTGCTTCACCAGTGCCTAGACGCACAGTTTGATCCAGAATTTACTTCTCAGTAAACGCAGCTCCCACTCTGTCCCTCAGAGACCAATATGATGTTTTAATGGCTTTAAGACAAGACAAACTCACTGATTTTATTTGTTTTCCTTACTTAATAACTACAGTATCTCAGACAAGTTATTTAATCTTACTAACCTTCACTTTCCTTATCTGTAAAACGGGATGATAAAACCAAATGCACGATGCTATTTGGAATAAAATAGAGTATGTAAAGTGTTCAGCACATTGCCTAGTATAAACTGTGTATTTGTTAAATATTATTACTAGTTAATAATAATTACTATTGGGCTTGGTGGCTCAGCCTATAATCCCAGGACTTTGGGAGGCCAAGGTGAGTGGACTGCCTGAGCCTGTGGGTTTGAGACCAGCCTGGGTAAACTGGCGAGGCCTCGTTTCTGCAATAAATATATATAAAAAAAATTAGCCAGGCGTGGTAATGCAAGCCTGTAGTTCTGGCTACTTGGAGGGCTGAGGTGGAAGGATTGACAGAGCCCAGCAGGTTGACACTGGGGTGGCCGTGAGCGTGCCACTGCACTCCAGCCTGGGCAACAGAGTGAGACTCCAACTCCAATAATAACAACAACAACTATTATTCTCCCTCTCCATAAGAATAATTATTTAACTTTAAATTTTTGGTGAATATACATTTTAGACACCTTTCTGTATTTGTATGCCTTAAGTAATAAGTAACTATTTTCTCTGGGTATCATAAACATTGTAAATATGAAACCAACTCCTCTAGAGATTTACAACATGATGATGTATTAATGCATACACACCCTGTTTAATTTCCAACCATGCATCTTATATGTCCTAAATGATCCCTGCTTCTATTAATCCATTAGTAAAAGCAAAACTGAACAATTATTTGAATAAAATACTGGCCCCAGCTTTGCATGTAACCCATCCAACAGAGATAGATGTACACAAATAGAAGGAGGTATGCAAACAGAAGGAGGATGGGGAGGACAGCATAGACAGACGTTGGATTTGATAGAGTAGTCACCATATCCAGTATTAATTTGGAATTTAACTTCTAAGGATCAGAGAAGGATTGAGTCAGGCATGAAAAGGACAAATGCCATTGTCCCAAGTGCATGCCTCCCTTCTGCACCATCATCACCAAGAATGTAGTTGGAAGGGAAGTCCTTGAGGTCATCCTTTTTCCTGCCTTAGTCAGGCTGGTTCACACACAAAAGCTGACTCAGAACACAAAGGAGTGAGAGGTTTGTAACAAAATCTGAGAAGTCAAGTTTTATACCTCATACCCCACTCCTGACACTGCCACCATACAGGAACTAAATCTACCTTTCTCTTTAATTTCCAAACCATGAAGTCATAAGACTAAACTCATCTTCCAAAAAGACATAAGTCTCTAGTGAATAAACTCCATGGTCCAACAGAGGACATAATCCAGCTTGCTGAAAGATAAACATAAAATAAACTCTAAGAGGTAAAATAAGCAGCTTGATTAACTTTTGATCATTTTAAAGTATGTTCAATTTAGAGCCTGGTATCAAGAGAATTATACAAACTGCTCTTCCAGTATAATTTATACATCTGAAATGTTTGCAATTCTCTTAATTCCTATTTAAGGGCATCACCACTTACTTGTTTGCAGT